TCTCTGGTGCTTCAGCACCCCACAGGCCCCGTGTGTAATTGTATGTCACAGTCCCTGCTGGGTTTCAGGGGCCTCTCTGGTGCTTTAGTACCCTGCAGGTCCAGTGGGTAACTGGATCACACAGCCCCTGCTGGGTTGCACAGGTCTCTCTGGTGCCCCTGCACCCTGCAGTTCCTCAAGGCAGTCAGCTGGATTGTACCAGTCTCTCTGGGGGCTCCAGCTTCCCACTGCTCTTGTGAGCTATTGGACTGCACAAGCCTCTGTGGAGCCCCAGGTCCCACTGCTGGTGGCTGGGGAGTGCTGCAGCCCTGTGGGGCTCAACTCCTGCTCAGCTTTTGCTATATATTTTGGGGATGGGTCTCAAATGCTGCTCTGTGTTTCTGTTGCCTGGGGATGGATGTCTGCTCCCCAGCCTCTGGTGCTGGGGGTATATCTTGACTCTGATCTGGCTGCTACTATGGGGGATGATGCTGGGCTCCAGGCTGTCTGCAGCTTCTAGGACTGGCACCTTGGAAGCTCCACTGCTGTGCACATGTCTGCATTGACACTGAGTGTCCACTGGTCTGATCATTCCAGGTGTGCTGGTGGGCTCAGGTTGCTGTGCCCTAGCTGCTCCCACTGCCTCCTTTCAGGGAAGACCAGGGATCTTCCAAAATGGTGTGACCTCCCCATGTTGCAGGGAGAAGTGCCCTGAAGGGCTGGTTACTGCAGACTGCTCCATCCACAGCACAAGAACTTTCTGCTCCGCGTCTCTGCACTGCTAGGGTTTGGTCATCCACCTTCACGTCCACTCACATTCCCTTACACACTCATTCACTCTCTCACTTACTCACCCTCCCTCCAGTCCTGCGCACACCCATCTTTTCCTCCTAGGTTTTATTTTCTTTCTCTGAGTTCATATGTGTATACTCCTAGGAACTTCAAACCTTTCAACAGTTGGCTAATTACTGCATAAGGCTTTTCAATATAACATTACTAATTATATTGTACAGTAATGAAACACACAAATATGGAGATTTAAAAATGTAAATGCCTATTTTTAAAATTCAATGGGTGATCATTTTAGGCAATTTTTGACACATTTACTCCCAATTCTTTACTTCCTATTCTAAGAAAGTAAGTGGTATTAAGACTTTCTGTATAATAAAAACCACAGTATAATACAGAGAATCATGCAGCAGGATTTGTCTAAATGTAGAACCTTTCAGTAACAACCATCTGGAAAGTAGCAACATTGAAAATGTATGAAGGATGTGCTATTTATATCATCTGTGTATTAGATAATTTACAACCTTAAAAAACATGGGTTTTTCAATTAATTGAAAGAAAACATAGTTTTGTCATTTTCAAACTGAGTTCTGAATTTTTTCTTAATTCAAAGTTGCAAACTCAATCTGATAGGAAGAAAAAGAACATTAAAAAGCACTTAATCTAAGTTTAATATGCATGGTATGATAATGTTTGGATTTTCCACCTTACCAAAGCTAAGTACACACTCAACTATCATATCTCTGTATAATACACAGACGCTTAACTGGCCCATGCATATAAATTAAACTTTATCTAAAACCAGATACAGATTAGAAACCAAATTTTGCACTCAGACTTACGTTACTGGTTCTCCATAACTATAATGGGAACAATCCAGCCACCCCCTTTTCCTCTCTCTCCCTAGAGGCCCCCTTCCCCTGCTTCTTTTTGTCCCCACTTACCTGATCTTTTCCTTCCTTCATATCTACATAAATCTTAAGCCTACCAGTGATACTTAAACCTAATGAAGCTTCTGATCCTTATTAATGAGAATAAAAGTGTACCTTACGTAACCTTGAGAATCTAATGAATTTCAAAACACATCTTATATGAGAGTTTAATAAGGCTATTAGTAGAAAATTCTTAGAAAGCTTTTAACTAATGTCCTCTGCTCCAATTTTTTATAATGTACAACCAGTTCAAGCTGGCTTGAGTTCTCTGTGTACCTGCTTCATATAACACCTAAAGTCAAGTGGAAGTAAACTATAGATTCAGTTATAGATTATTCCAGGGGCAAAGCTCAGCCACCTCTGCTTAGAAATGACAAGCAGTTAAGGGGTCTACGGAGAAGAGAACTTCTGGATGTAATGAATTCTGTGGGAGGGCCCCTCCTCACCTAACCCAAATCTGGTCCTCCCTTCAAAACTCAGCTCAAATATTAATTCCACCCTGGAGCCCACCCTGCCCTCTCCCATGTACTGTCACTGCTTTGGAACTTTTAAAAGTCATTACCACCACTTATTTTGGTTCTTAATTGTATTCCATCTTATATTGTTATTTAATATGCCATGCTTGGAACTTACTTTAAGGTAGATTTAAGCTCCTTAAAAGCAGGGCCTATGTCTTAGAGGTCTCTGTACCTTCCACAATACCTAGCATAAGCAAACAGTGACTGCATATGATCAATTGTGGAAAGTATGAGTTAGGCACCAAAAGAATGAGATATGAGATACATTTGACTCTGGAAAGTGATTATCCTCTTCATCTAAACCAGCAGTTCTCAACCTGTGGGTCGCAATCCCTTTGGGGGTCAAACAACTCTTTCACAGGAATCGCCTAAGACATAACAGTAGCAAAATTACAGTTATGAAGTAGCAACAAAAATAATTTTATGGTTGGGAGTCACCACAACATGAGGAACTGTATTACCGGGTCGCAGCATTAGGAAGGTTGAGAACCACTGGAACTGTTTTCACTTTTCCCGCCTGCTCATATAACTTCTCATTTCTCCAGCTCATGCTAGTTGTTAGCTTCTTAGGTAATCTATAAATAAGAGGCACTGTCCAAATTTCAGGAACTGGGAAATGTCAAAACATCATTTACTTTAGCTTACCATTGAAGGTCAAGAGAGGAGGATTACAATAGCTTTTTCCTGAAGGAATGCATATTTGACTTATAAGACAGGATCCAGAAGGAGGAGGAGCTGTAGAGTATCTTCCAATTTCTCAAGAATTCTTCCAACAAAGAGGCCCAGATCATGTTACTGCAGATCTGGATCTGTCTTTTAGCCTTTCTGCTTTATACAAACAACTGTGATTGGCTTCTTTCTTTTTTGTTTTTTAAGCCACTACATATTGATTTTACTGCTGCATCTACTGTTCTTTTATGGGATCATTTATTTTACCTACTTTGATATTTTATCTATCTCTTTATTCTTTGAAATGAAGAACAGGAAGTGAGCTAAGGGGATACTTCTCAAGATAAATCTTTATTATAACACAATTATTTCCCTTGCCTCTAAAATCAGTTAAGGAGGAAAAGCTGATCCTGCCCCATCTACCCTAAAGCATCCACTGTTCTTAGAAATTCAGCTAAGCAGCAAGCTGAAACTGATACCTACTCTGGGTTTTGCAACAAGCAGTTCAGAATGACTGAAGGAGCATTGTTCACATTGTTCCGATTTCTTAAGCAGTTTGTATTATGTAGAAAGAATAAAATATATAAAATATATTCTTATCAGGAACAATCCTTTGGAAATAATTTTAGAGAAAAATCAAGTGTGTCTGAACATCCTCATAAAATTCTTTGGCAGAGTCACAATAAAGATGTCATAATGAAATTATTATACCAGTCCTATTATACAAGAGACTAAATTGTACAGTATTATCCTAGCCACCAACTTCTAACAAATATTTAATTTTTATTTATGGGTTATCTTTTAGATAAAATTAAGCTTTAGAGTTAAGAAAGGAGGGGTAAAAAATTAAACTCCTAATCTGAAACACCTGGTAAAAGAAAGAAAATGAGAGCAGCCTAAGAATACAGATTATCCACTCAGTATAGGAAACCAAGTGAAAACTAAGAAAATAATCTATTGTCATATGAAAACTAGAATATGAAAACTGGAAGAGCTGAAAGTCTGTGACCCAACAGTATCTTCAAAATGGTCTGAGAAAGGGATGTAAGCAATGAAAAAGTTTAAATTAATATAGGGCTGCCTTCTAGGCTAGCCAACACCATCCACTATGTTTCTTTATTTGTTGAACGATTTATTTATTCAATAAAAATATATTAAGCTTCCACTATACATGAGGTACTTTGATATGAACTGAAAATACAATGATACAATGACACATTCATCAGATTCAAGAAAAAGATACAGAAAAGAAAAAGAATAGACTTAATGATCTACAGAAAATAAAGTAACACGTATAAGTCTAAATCTTCCAGTGAAATCTAAACAATTTTTGGTAACTCGAATACCACTTTCTTATTAACACAAATAAAAACATCAAAGATGTTTAATCTTCAATAGGCACCTTTTCTTTACCACAAAATATAAGGAGGTACTTACTCTCAGGGTCATGTTAGTGCCAACCCTGCATTTGCACAAACCTCACAGTGAGTGCCTTCCTAAAATTTTGTGCTCCAAGTGCCTTACTCACCTCTCCCTAGTCCTAGCCCTGCTCTCTCCCTCCAGACCCACTCAGTACCAGTTGGTGGGGAGCTATTAAAAAAAACTAAAAGCATCATGGCAATAGTGCACTGGAATTGTATATAAATTACTAAGAGTAAATCTGATACAAATTAGCTTGAAGACAGACCAAAGCTTTAAGACCCAATGGTAGACCATTGGGTCTTAAAGCCAAAATAGATTCAGTGTCATGGAAGTAGAAAACCGACTGACAAACCTCATAAGGATGGGGGAGGGGGGGAGAGAGGGAAGAGATAAACCAAAGAATTTATATGCATATATGCACAACCAACGAACACAGACATTAGTTTGAGGAAAGCAGGAGGGGGGTGGGAGCGAGAAGGAGGGGGGCCACTGGGGGAAAATGAGGGGACATCTGTAATACTTTCAACAAAATGTTATGGTAATTGTATTTTTAGGCTTTTACTAAGCTACCTTCTTTCAAAAAAAAGAGACCCAAACATAATCCCCGTGTTTCTGGAACATATGAATAAATGCATCTACATAGAAATATTCAAGTATACTCAGGTTTCAGCAAGTGAAAGTGTATGTTTGCCTACCTTCTCCAGCAAAGATAAAAGCAATAAATTGGCAGACATCCCAGGATGATCATGCAGAATACACCAAACCCAAACATCCGGAACATCTGCAAAGGCTCTGTTGGTTTAATTATATCTTGTTATTATTATTATTTTTTTTTACTTAAGCAAGAGAAGCAAATCTGAGCTCTTTCATAAGTTTTTTATTAAAATTATCAGTTAATAAAGTAAAATAAGGAGGTATTCATATATGATAGATAAATACACTTGTTGCTCTATAACAGCAGGGATTTATGAAATGTTCTTGAAACACAACTAAAGTCTACACTTTAAACATGTGCCTCCCAATGGAAGCCTTAACAAAATGACCCTACTGTTTCTGTTAACAGATTACTATTATTTATATGTCATCCTATGGCCTAAGTGTTATTTCCCTTGGCAACATGTTAGACCACTCAAAGAGTGAATTAATCTATGAATAGTTAACTTGATGAAGGAATGGCTTCTTAAATGTTTACTTCCAAATTATAAAACATTAAATTAAATAAATATGAACAATTTGCAGATGAATAAGTATACCTTATTTGGAAATGCATTCTAATATAATTAGGAAATTTTAAGTCACAGTTCAATTTTTCCCTCTATAAAAACCAAATGTCTCTTCTCAGATAATATAAACACTAAACTGATTAATAAATTATAAACACTATGTGACTGTATTAAAATTGTAATTCTATATTCATGATCAGATTTCATTTTCTATTATTAATACTAGATGTTCACAGAGATCTGTAAATTGAATAGGGACTATATTAGCCTAAGACATTGTTTTGCATGCATCATTTAGTAGTATTTATCAGTGTTTAATCATATCAACTATGTCCATCATGGGACTCACTGGTAATATGTCCCCACTACACAAATAAAGGAGCAGAAACAGATTGTCTAGTTCTCAAAACTTTGAAAAGAAAAAAAAAATTAATAGGAGAACCTAATTCAAAAATAATAAAACCAAGATAAATTAGTACGAAAACCTTAACAGAAAACTTTCAAATCTACTGTCACATTCTGAGATGCAGAAGATAAGATAAATGGAAAGAAGTTTATTCAGGAAGAGTAAGTGGGAAGAGAAAGTAAGCTAAGGCATGTCTAATTGGTATATTTTCCCAGGCATTAAGAGTTACATTTTATAGAGCCTGGAATCTTGAAGACAAGATAGTAACTAAAGCAAAAGAAGAGATTAATTTCAAACTGCCATAGTCACATCTAATGGTTAAGCGGAAACTGTTCACAAATAGAGGCCTAGCCACCTCAGGACATTCTATAGACAGTATTGCAGTAGAGTTGGAAGCCCTATTTAAGTGTAGAGCTGAGAAAGCCAAATTTAAATTTATGCCCTTGTGACCTGGTTATTTAATTAAAAAAAAAATAGAAATACAATATATGTAAGAGGATGAACTTACTATTGCTTAAAGGGGAAAAACACCTAAAGTTCTTGGTCCCAGATGATGAATAACAGCACTTATATTTCAAACATGCACTCTTGTTAAGATTTTGCAGATTATTGCAAGCTGTCACCTCCTGATTCTCCTTTACAATGCATGCTTTTAGGAAAAAAATCCAAGAAAAAAAATCTCTACATGATTAATAGCCATTTTTCCTAATTAAAATAATTACTGCAATGCAAAAAACAAACAAACATTTAAGCTGGTACACTTAAAGAGAAGATTAAATGACATCCAAATAGTGATGAATGCTGAAAAATAAGAGTTAAACTAAAAATTATCATAAAGTTTTTTAACATCACATTTTCTATTCTAAATGAACTGCAAAAAAAAACAAAACCATAAATTGTTCCCTATGTTCATAGCAGCACTACTTACAATAGCTAAGATCTGGAAGTAACCCAAATGTCCATCAGTAGATGAGTGGATTAAAAAGCTATGGTACATGTACACAATGGAATACTATGCAGCTGTAATAAAGAAAGATCTCTTCTCCTTTGAGATGGCGTGGAAGGACCTGGAGAGTATTATGCTAAGTGAAACAAGCCAAGCAGAGAAAGATAAATATCACATGATCTCACTTATTTGTGGAATATAATGAACTAAACAAACTGCTGAACAAAATTAACCCAGAGACATGGAGGTGGGATGCAGGCTGACAAGCTTCAGAGGAGGGAGAGGTTTGTGGGGGAAGAGATAAACCACAGTACTTATGTGCATGTATGCATGACCAATGAACATAGACAACAAAGCTGGGGATGGGGTAGCGGGGAAGGGGAGGAGAGTGTCAATGGTGGGGGAGGATGAGAAACATCTGTAACAAAACAAATTAATAAAAAAAAACATAAATTGTTAACAGCTCATTGATAAGGTAGTTAAAACGTCTATAAATCATAAACTGAGTAGTAGTGACATAAATACAATACAGAAGGAACTAAATAAAAAGAATAGGTCAAAACACTATTAAAACTAACACCTTGTTTAGTACAGCAGATATCCTCTCACTCATTGTTTCTACTGTTGAAAGTTTACAGATGTCCCTTTTTCCACTGACCCCTCCTCCCTATATGTTATTTTTATTGTTGACATTACAGATGTCCCATTTTTCCCCGTTTGCCCCCTTCCACCCAGACCCCACTCTCCCTTCTTTCACTCATTTTTACTAAGCCACAGAAACTCATTGAATGCATGAATGACAATGAACATAAGTAAAATTCACACAGTTTACTGCTAGGGAGTAAGGTAAGTGATACTATTGGGGCTGACCTACTTCCTGTAAACACTTGTCATATTGGCATTACAATATATTTTAATATTCTTTCTTTCAAACTTAAGTTATGACTCTATAATTTTTTAATCCCCACCTAAGGATATTTTTTCCATTGATTTTCAGATAGAGTGGGAGGGAAGGAAGGAAAGAGAGAGAGAGAGAAACATTGATGTAAGACACATTGATTGGTTGCCCCCCACACGACCATGATCAAGGACAGGGATCAAACTGCAACCCAGGTACATGCCCCTGACTAGAATCAAACCCATGAGACTTTGGTATGCAGGCCTATGCTCTAACCATTGAGGCAAACTAGCCAGGGATGACTTTATAATTTTTAATACTCAATGATTTATGGCATGAATGCCAAGATTCATGCAACTGTGATAAAATCATACATATTTGCATCTATGACTCACAGGTTCAAATAGCAGATTTTTTAACGACCTGTTTTAAAAGATAAATAAATGACAAATAAAAAACCAGGTAACAGCCCTGGCCAGTTTTGCTCAGCGGTTAGAGCATCGGCCTGCGGTCCAGAGAGACCTGGGTTCGGTTCCCGCTAAGGGCACGTTATCTCGATTGCAGTTTGTCCCCAGCTCTGGTTGGGTCGTGCAGGAGGCAGCCACTCGATGTGACCCTTTCACGTTGATGTTTCTCTCTCTCTCTCTTTCTTCCTCTCTCTCGCTCCCACTCTATCTGAATAAAAAAAAAATAGAAAAATGTCCTCGGATGAGGATAAAAAAAAAAGCAGGTAACAGATTATTCAAAAAGAAAATCTCCACAGTATGGCTTAAAGACAACACAGATTAGTTTCAATATCTAATACTGTCAACAACTACAGATTTAGAAAAGCAATAACTGAAAAATTCCCAAATGGCGATGGAGTGAATGGAAGCTACACAGACCATCTCACAAGACCAAACTGGAATTACAACTAAAATGAAGACAAATTGTCAGGAAAAACAAACAGAAAAGCAGCTGGGGGGGACCCATATAACCAGGGACAAAAAGAAGACCAAAAAATCAAGCCTGGTAGAAACTGTGAAAGTACAAGGGGGAAAGCTGGGAGCCCACAGACAACAGCTGTTTTACCTGTGAGCAGCTCCCCAAGCCAGTTCCACAGTGCAGAGGGCCAGGACAGAGGACTAAATTAGCTATAGCCACTCACCTTGGGCTCTGGCAGAGGGAGAATGGACTGGACTGGAACTGTGTGGAGACTTGGGAGCCTGGAGAACTGGGAGGGCAATGGGAGTTTTAGGCTGAATCACTCAATCACAGGACAGTAGTCATCTTACTCAACAAGCCCCTTCCCAGAACTCCAGGGAGAATCAAAAGCTCCTCCCTCAGGAATTTAACACCACCTGGCCATTAACAGGCAGAAAGCACCTGCCCCACCCACTGGAAATTTTCTTACCCTGAACACCTGAGGGATAATTTCATCCAGTTGAAGGCTACAACCCAAAGCTTATCAAGTAACTGAAGCTAAATAGCCACCAGGCAAAAATCTAGGGGATAACTGAACCTTTCCTAGGCTTGCAAATATACCCAGGAAAGTAAGACCTGATAGTGGTGTTTAATGTGGGACCTCCCACACTCATCCAAACCAATAGAGAAAGCCACAACCAATGGAACACCAACAACCACAGGAAAAAATGGGCAGGCTCCAAAACCCACTGAGATAGCCAAAATTGTGAAACAAAGAAATCACAAATGAAAGAACAAAAAGTCTCTACTGAAGAAGAGATAAATGAAATGTAGTTAAGCAAGTTAGCAGAGGTAGAGTTCACAGTAATGATAATGGAAAGCTCAACAGCATGAGTAAAGAGCTCAACAGCATGAGTAAAGATATAAACACATTGAAAATCAACCAATTGGAAATGAAAAACCATCAAGTAAAAATAAAGAATGGCATAGCAAAAATAAAGAACACATTGGAAGGAATAACCAGCAGAGTAGAAGCCAAGGACCATATGATTTAATTAGAAGACAGGGTAGAAAAACTCACCCAAGCGGAGAACCAAAAAGAAAAATAAAACAACGACAATTAAAAAACAGGAAGACAGTTTAAGAGAGCTGTGGGGCAACATGAAACATAACAACATTTGTCATAGGCGTCCCAGAAGAAGAAGAAAATGAGCAAGGGTTAGAGAATATATTTGAAGACATAGTGAGAGAAAATCCTTAACTTGGTGAAGGGAAAAGGTATACAAGTACAAGAAGCACAGGGATCCCCAAGTAAGAAGAACCCAAGCAGGCCTACACCAACACATATAATAATTGAAATGCGAAAAATTAAAGACAAAGAGAGAATCCTAAAGGCAGCAAGAGATAAGCAGCAGGTTAACTACAAAGAAACCCACATAAGACTATCAGGTGACTTCTCAACAGAAACATTACAGGCCACAACAGAATGCATGAAGTAATTATGGTAATGAAAAACAAAAACAAAAAAAAAGGGATCTGAATCAAAGACTACTCTACCCAGCAAGGCTATCATTCAAAATAGGAGGTGAAATAAAAAGCTTCCCAGACCAAAAAAAATATAAGCTAAGGGACTATATTAGCACCAAACCAGCACTGCAAGAAATGTTAAAAGGACTGCTGTAATTAGTAGAAGAAATAGAAAGAAAAATATAACCACAAAAAACATAAATGACAATAAATAAGTACATATCAATAATCACCTTAAGTGGAAATGGATTGAACACTCCAATCAAAATTCATGGAGGAGTTATTAGACAACAAAGTGTGACTCATAAATGTGTTGTTTACAAGAGACCCATCTCACAACAAAAGATCCACATAGGTTGAAAGTGAAGAAATGGAAAAAGAAACCGTCCAAGAAAATGGAAAGGAATAAACAGCTGTGGTAGCAATACTCATATCTGATAAAATAGATTTCAAAATGAAGGCCATAACTAGAGACACAGAAGTACACTACATAATATTGAAAGAATCTATCAAACAGAAAGACATAACCTTGGTAAACATATATGTACCCAATATAGGAGCTCCAAAATATATTTTTAAAATTTCTGGAGGAATTCAAAAAAAAATTGACACCAATATAATCATAATAGGGGACTTCAACACCCTGCTGACATCACTGGATAGAGCCTCTAGACAAAAAATTAACAATGAAACAGAGACTCTAAATGATGCACGAGATCAAAATGATTTAATAGATAACTACAGAGAATTACACCACAAAACTTCAGAATTCACATTCTTCTCAAGTGCACATGGGACATTCTCAAGATAGACCACATGTTAACACACAAACTAAGTCTCTAGAAGTTCAAGAAGATTGAAGTCACATCAAGCACCTTCTCAGATTACAATGGCATGAAACTAGAAACATATTGCAACAAAAACATGCAAAAACATTTAAACACATGGAGGCTAAATAATATGCTATTGAACAATGAATGGGTTACCATGGAGATCAAGGAAGAAATTAAAAGATTCCTGGAAACCAATGAAAATGAACATACAACACCACAAAAATCTATGGGACTCAGGGAAAGCAGTTCTGAGAGGGAAGTTTATAGCACTACAGGCCTACCCCAAGGAAAAAGAAAAACTTCTAATTGACTATCTAACCTCACAATTTAAAGAACTGGACAACAAACAATAAGAAAAACCCAGAGCAAGTAGAAGGAAAGAAATATTAAAGATCAAAGCAGAAATGAATGACATAGAGAATAAAAAAAAAATCAAAAGATCAATGAAACAAAGAGCTGGTTCTTTGAAGAGATAAACAAGATTGATGGACCCTTAGTTAGACTCACCAATAAACAAAGAGAGAGTACCCAAATAAACAAAA